CATGTTTTTCATATCTTTTTGCAATGAGTCCAAACACTACTTTGGGAGGGCAACTTCCCCCCATTCAATCCAAATCCACGCAATGCAAAGTCCTATGAAACTCCATAAACTAAAATAACCTTTTTCTCCAAACTCCTTCCCTGAAATTCTTGAATAGTCGCCTGTAGTTGAACTGGAACGCATTTGGAAGGGTTTGAATTAAGTGCAGCTAGCCCAAAAGGCAGTTTGGCTTCCTACAGAGGTGTAAAGGATAAAAAAGGGATTGTGGTGGACAGTGCATTGTCAGTGTGAATTATGCAGTGAGCTGAAAGGACAACTGGAATAGTCATCAAAGTTCCTAAGAGCTGCTCTCTTCCAGATAAGCTAACACAGGGATCTGAGCTCTGAGGTTAACCAAAATAAAATTTAACAGTGCTGCAAAATGCATTTGCTGTATTTGACTTCTTTCTAAAGTTAGAGTAGTGATTCTGCTGACTCTATTGTCAGTAACAAAAAACTGTCAGTAACAACAACAGTTTATCTCAACATTATCTGCATGAAGATGGCCATACAGTTTTATGTAAGGCACATATGACAAGTTGTAACCTTCCCAGAGATTGATGCATTTTTAGATATTCTAAGAAATCAGAAAGCATCGATCAGAAATCTATGCAACCATCTGTTAGCTTTTCAAATATCTTAATTTAAATAACACTCAGAAGGAAAGGAGTCATTGTCCAGTATTGTTTCATTAATAGACTTGCATGATATGTGATTGCTTGTAAAAACAGCTAACCTGAGAAGAAAGACCCTGGAGATCCTTTCTAGCCCTATGTAATGGAAGGACAACACTGGAGTTATGAGAGGTTTACTGCTGTAAATGATCAGCACCTCATTACCTTGTTCTCTAACTTAAATATGTATCATTTTATGTCCCTATAAATTTTTCAGGTACAGTGCTAATATTAATTATTGATTGGATGTAGAAGTGTCGACTCCCATCGGGTACAATTATAATGCATGTCAAACTGCGAGATAATAAATGTGTGCTCTTTGAAAGTGAGTCAGAATGCATTAGATGCTCTTATTTTCCACTATCAAGAACCGATTTATAATCTTAAAAAATGTCTTCAGTCTACTTTTTGTGAGGAAAGAGGAATTTACACCTTAAGGCTGTATTTTCTTAATTCATTTGAAACACCACAGAGATGCAACACTTGGAGGAAAGGTTGTACACCTTACAGCACCTCTGAAGATCTGCTGCACCTTTTCCCACAGACAAAGTCTCACCCTGAATAGTGCCATTTCCTGCATCTCAACAGGAGCCATACCATCTGGCAGGCCTTGGGTAAGATGGGGTTGTGAACAGTAGAGTACGTGTGAGCAGAAAACATGGGCTACAAAATGAGGAGTCACATGAGATACACCTTCCTTAACAGCTGGGTCTGTAAGAATATGGTCAAAGAGCCCAAAAGATTCCAGCTAACTTAGCTGGGAGCAGGAGCTGACTGCTGTGACAGGAGTCACAGCTGTTATATTGAGATTTAAGTGTAACTCTGATCCATGAACATGAATAACAAAAGTCTCATTGATTTCAATTAGAGGAGGCTTGGATCTATTTACTGTAACTGAGTTGATTCTCAGAAAAATAATTAATTCCTTGTCATGTCTCATGTGTATCGATTTTTGTAATTACAATGAAATTGGAGGCAAAGGTAGGGGGAAGGAAATGCACTTGATTTATGTTTAATTTGATGCAGAAGCTGTCAAGGACAAAGAAATTATGATGCAGTGACCATGCCCATTCTTGATGCATTCCTCTGTGTTTAGATAACGAGTGCCAGACACATGCTGTAGTGGAGAATCTTAAATCACACACTGCTCTAACGTACAGAATTCAGTACTGTGGTGTAAAGAGCTGGGTTTCTATAGTAGCCTCCACAGCACACAGAAGAGATGCCCAAGGGGAAGAAGATAAGGATAGGACAAACTTAATGTGTGTCAATGGCTAAGAGGAGTAGACAAAGATTAGCACAGGGGAGAAAAGAAACACAAGCTGTTGCTAATAATAAAGCTGCCAGTAGATAATGCAAGGGAAAAAAAAAGGAAAGAAAAGAAAATACATATAGCCTTGCTTGGTAATGATGCTGTGTAGGAAAAGGATAGTGGCACTGTGCTTTTGCTAAAAAGGCAAGTCAGAAATTTTTTGACCTAGAGTCAGTCAGTATTTGTCTTCTTAATTAGGTGACAGTCTCCTTTTCCAAACATGTTTGTGGCAGTGGTTGGCCTACTTTCATACACACAAAAAAAGATTTGATGGCAATACTCAATTTCTAGTTTTGACAATATCAGAGATTAGTTTGTCGTGAAGATATCCTCATTACTTACCCAGATATAGTATGACATTTTTTGCCCATTAAAGCCAATGCCTACTCTAATTTCAGCAGGACCACAGGAAGCTAAAGAACTATTTCCAGTCTTCTACCTAACAGTATCAGCTCAGGAAATAAAGTCTCCAATTCTTATATGAGAAAAAAAGCTTTTTGTTATCCAATAGCCTTGCAAATGAAAGCTGCAAAACAGCCTCACATCCAAACATTGAAAAGAAATGATATATATCAGGGAAAGGCAGAGTTTAAGAGTGCGAATCAGTTCTGATTTAAGTACTTTAATCTAAACACATGATATTTTAAACAAAAAGCAAGCCCTCTGCCCCCAGTACAGGGAACTAATTTGCATCCAGTTTGTGCAATTTCTGTAGTCTAAAAAATGTCAGCACTCTAAGGGAAATATTCCTCTGGTGACTTACAGACACTGCAACAAAGGAAGCTGCAAAACTCGTAGTTAAAAAACCAAAACCCCCCCCAACCAAAACACCTCCCCAAAAAACCTCACTGCTGTGGCAGTCTGTTAGCAACACTTTATGAAACGATATTCTTCCTGGCTACGGCAGAGCTCTGTGCACAAAGTCATAACACAAGAAACTGTGAGTCAGTCATAAATAACCAAATAACAGTGATTGATGATGGTAATCTGTCTCCAAAGGAATTATTGGTAAAAACACAAAAAAATTCTTTCCCTTGTAATATATTAAACACTTTGTTTAGGGGTTGAGTTGATACTGCCAGAAAACCCTTGCAACACAACTAGCATAAATTTTAGTGGGCGTTTGAAAACTGAAGCATGAGAAACTAGCTTGTGAAAAAAGCTGCTCCTAGAAAAGCTGCTGTTTGCATAAAATACATTGGTTCTTCTCAGCTGGGAAATAATTTGATTTATTTTATATTATAAGCCCTGTCACTAAGGAAGCAAATATGGATATGAAATAAGAACATGAAGGAAAACATAAAAAGAGACTTAATAAAATGCGTAATTATATTTTGCCTAAATCCTCTCACGCCAGCAAGAGGCATATTCCATCATAAATTCAGCAAATTCTGCCCATTTCAGTATGTGGAAAAGGAAAAGAAAACTGCAGCCAGGCCCTGTGAAGCACAGAGTTTTCTCAGGAGCATTTGAGAGCACTGACTGAGGAGAGCTGATGACTGCAGTGGTTTAACTGATGGCCAGATGCAGGGGAAGACAAGGGATCTGGAGCTGTTCTGTGCCATGACCTAACACTTGGCACATGGACAGCTGATGGAAGAATCTAACACTACAGGTCCAGCACAATCTTTCAAAATGCAACCCAAGTTCTTAGTCACCAATTTTCAGTGCTTTATGCTACTTCTCAGTAAAGCAATATATTAAAAAAAAAAAAAATCAAGAAAAAAAAGAAGAAAGGACAAAGGACACAGACACAGAGAAGTAATCAAGTGCCCAAGTATTTGTAAAAAGTCAGTGTTAGAAGCATTAGCAAATTATTCTTTGACATTTAAAATTCCAGCATTTAAATTCCATTTTAGTTCACGTGCCCGAAAAGTTCATGATCCTACAGCACCAAATATGAAACATTATGTATAGTCTTTACATTCAGATGCCCACAACATCAAAAAGTTCCAGCTTATTTATAAATATTTTTTTAAAAGATGAGTAGAAAATGAGAAATTCAAACATTTTTATTTACCCAAACTATTGTAAAATTCTAGCTATTCAGACCTCAGACTTTATTCTCTGGGTATTTGACAGAAATGACATGACAACACTGATTGGCTGACACCCAGTGCTAGAGTTCAAGCTGTAATACAAGCACGGAAACATCAGGACTGTGGACACAGACAAAAAATGAAAAGTAAAGCCTAGAACAGACATTTGAGCAAGTGCATAAAAAAAATGAAAGCAAACATGACAGAATGGGCCGTGAAGAATCATACTTGGATATGAACTCTGCTGAAACCAAATCTCCCTCTGTACCGAAGTCTGATTATATAGTTACCTGGGTCTTCCTACAGGAAAATCGGATACAATTGGAGGACTCTGAACCTCCTCTGCTGAAGTCAATGGCAAAACTACCACCAGCTTCAGTAGAAGCAAGAGTCAGCCCGCAGTCTTTAGGATGAAAAAACGTATTTCAGAATAGTACATGTAGATGCAGTGCACAAAATCAAACAGAGGAAATCCGGCAAGCAATGTAGAATATTAAGCACTATTATTATGAAAATTCTCATTGTTTAAAAAAAAAAACAAACCACAAAAAACCATCCTCATCAATTATCACAAAAATCTGCAGCAAGCATGCTAAAAAGATATCTCTTTTTTCTTTTTTAATGTAAACTGTGTTTTGGTTTTGTACTGCTAAAGCACAATAGAGTGAAGAGCACGCTCTGCTGGTCAGAAGCACCATTTACACTGAAAGCTTTTTAACAATCTGAGTATTAAAAACCAAACCCCATTCATTATGGTGACATCTGGACTTGAAATGGTGCTCCATAGTAGGCTGCTACGTGACTTTTTCCACCCTGAATATTAGAGACAATGGCTATGGTGCTATGAATGAACTTTCTCATGTTTAAACATCAGCCTACCTGCTGTAAGAACACTTTCTTTCCTGAAGGACCTTTTTTGAGCAGTATAACATACATTCAAAAACTCTTTACCTTAGGCTTTTCATCCAGTATTTGCTGACGAATCTCTTTGTGTTTTTCTACAAGTTTCTCCTGTCTTTTACTCTGAGCATCTTCTAGCTGTAACAAAATGGCAGAGAATCTTTTTTTTGGAGATTGCACATCCCCACTTTCTTACCTCTTCCCCAACAAATATTTCATCCATCAAAATTAAAATATTATCATCAAAACTATGAATAATTCTAATATAAACTTACATCCCATTTTCACAAGCACCCTTGAGCACAACCACTTTAACAGTTAGTTGTATGTGGACAACATATCTCAGATTTCACAGACAGGATTTAGAATCAGAATTGTAGACTTCTAATGCTATTAAAAACAAAGTGCATTTTTAAAAACCATATTATTTTCCTTTAGCTTTTATTGTATGAGCTGTATGAGATGAATCCTGTTTCCAGAAGAAGAGGATTTGCATCTTAGAGTCCTAAATGAACGTGCTGATAAATTTTGGGTCTCATTTAATAAAGCGTTGAGACACGTGTCTGACTCCAACAGGAATTAAGCATACTTAATTTGCTAACTCTTTAGGTTGCTTCCTGAATCAAAGCCTCTGTAAGCAAAAATGGGACAGCTTTTGAACTGAACTCTCTCTGCACTGAAATTAAAGAGAAAATTCAATAGTGTCATATGTTTCATAGTGATTTCACACATCAAAACACTGCGTTGCACACTTTCAGCTCAGTGTAAACCATCTATAGGTTCAGAAAAGATGACACCTGCAATGAAATTATTTGAATTGTATTTACAGAGCTCACAGAAATTTTTTTTTTTGCATTTCAGTAACTGTACAAATGTGATTAAAGTTAAAATACACTCTGCAATTAAATGTTTATTGACCTTCACAGTTCCTTACACAATCTTTGCATTCAAGAGACAGCAAGTAAATAAAAAATATCAGCACATTTCCCACGAATAAATACAGAATATTCAAAGACAAAATCACAACTGTATTAAAAGCTGCCCCTCTTAGCACCGTCCCCCAAACACTAACAATTAATCAAAAATCTGTCTGAAATTCCAGTTTTCCTTTAACTGGAATGTGAAGAGAAGCACTGCATCTTTTAAAAATCAGCACTAGCAGAATCTTTCTGTTGAAACATAGAATCTGCAGTTTAATGTGACCTAAAATATGAAAGCTGACATTTTACCCCCAAAAATGAAAAAAGAAAACATATGGCCTCACATACCCGTTTTATGTACTGCACCACCTCCTGGATATACGATCGAATCATTTCAGTCTTCTCTCTGGGGAGGAGCAATCAATAAATCCTTGTAGTCAATAAGATCACACCAATATATTTTAATCCCCCACAACTCCTGACACAATAAGTAAGGCTATGTTTTGAACCTACGGATCTGCCTACTCAACTTCTGTCCACTCCCTGGTTGTGCCTTTCATAACAGGCTGCGTCTATATTGTATGAAGGGCTCAGACTTCCTCATTACCCACCACAAAACCCCCTGCTCTTTCACAACAGGCTTTTCCCATAAGGTACTGCCAGGTCTTCAAAGTGCTGGTGGTGTTACTTAAGGTCCAAATGTCAGTCTAGGATAGATTGCACTATCATTAGTAGATGCACACTGCCACATTGTGGCACGTTATATAGTCTCTGTCAGCAAGCAGATAACTGCTGGTGACACCTCAGAGACAACGGCAAAGTTCCCACAAAAAAGAAGGGCAGATTCGACTTCGGTCCCCAGCTTTGCTATGCAAACCACATAAAGCTGAACTTGGAGGAAATAATTGAACTCAGGCTCTTCTCAGTGATGCCCAGTGATAGGACAAGGGGCAATGGGTGCAAGCTGGAACAAAGAAGGTTCCGCTTAAACTTCAGAAGAAACTTATTTACAGTGAGGGTGACAGAGCCCTGGGACAGGCTGCCCAGGGACGGTGTGGAGTCTCCATCTCTGGAGACATTCAAAACCCGCCTGGACGCCTTCCTGTGTGATCTCATTTAGGTTCCTGCTCCAGCAGGGGGATTGGACTAGATGATCTTTCAAGGTCCCTTCCAATCCCCAACATTCTGTGATTCTGTGTGATTAGATAAGCATTGGTCAAAGGCTGAAGATGAGATCCCCCAACAGGATAAATGCACATAAAAAAACAATTTGTGGATACTCGAGTTGACCAGATTCAGGACAGTACTCTAAAACCTAATTGCCTAAGTCAAGAACTGAGAATTGCTGGCACTAAAATCAGATGGTTTTAGGTAGTTTATACAAGCCCTGGGTGCATGTAGGAATTAGAAAAAATAAGTAAGAACAATTCATATAATGTATTATCTCTATGTTATATTCTTTCTCAAATTTGTGTAAAAGCTTTAAATAAACAACAGCCTTTCCCAGATGACTTGAACAGGATTCACCAGAAGGTCTTGCTACTCTCTGTCCTACTGTGAGAGTGAGGACAAATTGTGTCACTTGACAGAGGAAAGCTGAATTTCCCACGTAGTTCCCGTCTCACCTTTCTCAAGGACACTTTGAAATGTCTGGCACAGGAAAGCCCTTGGGAAAAATAAGAAAAAAATAAAAGGAAAACAAAAATAATGCCTACTTGTCTGCTTCTGAGCCTTTCTCCTAGAATCATAAGCTGGTTTGGGTTGGAAGGGACCTTAAAGATCATCTAGTTCCAACCACCCTGCCATCAGTAGGGACACCTTCCACTAGACCAGGTTGCTCAAAGCCTCATCCAGCCTGGATGAGACATTCTCACTAATGTCTCATTAACCTCTCAGCAAATCATTTCCTATTGCAATTGATTTTTACTACTACAACATTTTCATAATGACTAACTATTTACTGTAGTATGACTTCCCTGCCCTCTTACCAGCTCTAACCATATTAAGTATTTTTTTCTTTTTTAAATAATCAGTTATTCTCATTTTGTTATCTTTTTTCTAGGAGGTTTATTAAAATTCTATAATATTGATTCTCAAATTATCTGATGCAGGTCATTGTGTGTGTGTGACCTTCTTTCAGTCTTATAAAATACAAAGATTCTATGTAGAGAGGCTCCAAAACCTGTACAAACCTTTTTACCAGTAGAAAACCAAACATAGTTGTTTTTGTTAAATGGTAAATCTCAGAGATTCTGAATTTTTCTTTCTCTTTTTTTTTTGTTCCTTCTGTATTTTTAGCTGTCCTTAAGTGTTACTAAAAACTAGTAACAAGAATATGCCAGCAAACAATGGAAGATTAAAATGCTCCATTTTCTTTTTGAGCTGCTTGCCAAAACAAATAAAGGAGGACAAACAAATCTAGATACTGTGCCCTTGGGAAGAATATAATCAACTTGCACAACTACAGCTGGTATTGTCTGGTGGTGCATAAATGAAATTAATATTCCTGTCCCTGTTCACAGAAACTGCACCCTGAGAGCTCAGCCTTCCTCTCTCTTCCACCCGAAGTAACTGCACACTGCATAGTGCTGGAGGAGAACGAGTAGCACAGCATCGGAGTGGAATTTAATGTAAAAGTAGAGCAAACCTTCCAGTGTGTTCCTGCTATTTCTTCTGGAGAACAGCTTTAACAGAGTTAAGAAGAAAAGATAACTCCAAAATAAAAAGCTAAGTTAAGGTGAAGTCAAACCCTCCAGAAACTAAAGCCACTAAATCGATTTATACTCAGAGGAATAGCCTCTGGATTAACAGCATCTTGGTGAATCACTCTGTCATGGCACTCATAGGCATGTCCCCATACCACACATCAGCACCTCTGCAGTTGACCCAGACTCTCCATCCTTGCAGAACAGGAGATTAGATTAGTCCCAGGAAATTAAATTAGTATCGACAGAAGTAAGAAGGACCCCACTGCTCTGGTGAGGCACTACAGTCTGACTAAAAGCTGCCTTGTATTTAGGGTTAAGACCTACCTTCGATTTTCCATTTGTGAAAAATCTTGTGTCTCCTCATATCATATAAGGATATGGATCCAGGGATATACTTACTCTTCCATTTGATTTTTATCCTTCGACTTTGCTTCTGTGATCTTCTCCTGCCTCTTCTTGTCCATTTTTTTCTTCAACTCTTTCTTTTCTCTAAAGCATAAAAAATAAAAGGCAAGTTCAAAATGAATCTAAACAAACCCCACACAGAGTAGCAATCAATTATAAGGGGAATAGCACCTTACTTTTCACAGGTTTCTTTCAGTTTCTTTAGCTGGCTGTTCTGACACTCCTCTGCTACATCTGTCAACTTCTGAATAAGCTAAAAAAAAAAAAAAAAATCTCAATAAACATATATATTTTCAGCTAAATGTCATATATGCACCTAAGTTTCCTCAAAAATCTGTAGCAGATGTGAAAGTGTTACACTATTTCCTGATTAATTACCAATGATGAAAAGCCAGTAAACATTCTTACTGGTGTAAATGCATTCTTAACTTGCTGAGTCCAGCCAGACTTGTGCATGTCCAAATTACACAGAAGCTACTACTTCTCTGTACATCAAAGTGATAGTCCCAGAATACTAAAACATAAAATCAAAATATATTTTGCTGATATTACCTTTGCTAGGAATTAAAATGCCTATGATAATTCATAAATGGTCACAAACTGAATTTATGCAATACAAATTACAAACTGAATTCCTATACAACTGAATCTTCAAGGTTTTCAATGAATGCTGAAAACGTTCCTCTTGCATTGAGCATTATTACACGGAAAAGCTTGGATTTCAGGGTGGTCAGGTGGATATTGAAAACTCATGCATGATAGCCAAGAAAGCTAAGCTTAGATAAGCATAGCCTACATTTTGATAACAGAACACTGGATTAAAAAAATCTGAGCTGTTGGTTTGACAATGGCTGTGCAGCACTAGGACCAATCTCATTTGTGCTGAAGCTGCTAACAAAAAGCAGGTGACGCTTGTAGTGGTGACGCTGACAGGAGAGGACACACAGACAGGTCTTGTGTGCAAGTTCAGTGAATGGTGTATTAAAATAGGAAATGAGACCAATTTGGTTTGATCATCCCCTCTAATTTAAGTCTGATTCTGTAAAATAATCCTCTCAGGATGATGAAGCAGAGAATGTATAATAATGCCTACCTAGTCTGATCCAGCTTTTCATTCCTTCGATAAAAGAAGGAAGATACTGACAATAGGCTCTCCTCTAAAAGAAAGACATCAGAAAGAATCTCAGGCTGCAAAGCAGAGTTTAATCGGACTATCAGCTCCTGCACAGCTCAGAAAGAAAATTGTCTGCAGATTCTGTGCTAAAAATTTGAATCTATCCTGACACTACATAACTGGACAATGCTGAAAATGTAACTTTGCTTTGAAAAATGCCACTTCCCATTTTGAAATGAGAAATGAGCTGGCTTAGAACATACACCAAACTACGTGGGTCCAAAATGATTTGTTTTAATAAAAAATAAAATTCCTGAGTTGCAGCCAACAACTGTAACTGAAACGTGGCCTCTCTCCCTGCGGCACAGGTAACCACATCCACGCACCCACACTGCAGCAGCTCCTGCTGGGTAATGCTGAAGTGATTCACATACAACTGGTGGTAAACAGGGCACTGCGTGGGAACTGCAGCACCATGCTCTGACCCATGGGAATGAATCTGTGAAAAGGCCTTGCTGAGTGATATCCAGGCATATCACTCCTCTGATCTGCAGTTTTTGGAGGGCAGGGCAGAGAAGACAAATCACTTCACCCAACAATAATGAGGCAAAACATCATACAGTAGAAAAAAATTGTGAGAGAGGATTGTCTGGAGTTGAGAAACAGTTTGCACTGACTTAACACCCTTTGAAAATGCTCTTTTCTGCCTGAGAATATCTATCAGAATCAGCTGCTGTCTGCCCAAGCTCCTCTATTTCAGCTGAGAGGGCCTATGATCCTGCTGTAGTTCTCAGCCAAACTCCATCTGTAAAAACACAAGCTGGCTTGGACCGATGGACACAACATATTTCTTCACTATATAGAGATTATGTCCTGCATCCTCTTAAAGCATTCATCTGCAACAGGAACACTGTTTGGCACAACTCTGTGCCCTGGGAAATGTTTGAAGCTATTTTCCTTTATTTGTTTTCATGGTGTTTCAATTTATTTTTCCGTGAACTCTGCCTCCTTGAGTGTTGTACGTTTTAAAAAGTGGCAGAACAAAATGAGATCATCATCCAAAAGCTGCAGTAAACTGAGACTTGCATAACTAGAGGTAAGGACTCTCTGCACTAGCAGTAATAATAATCCTGTTGCCTTTCTACCTTCCACCCAAAGCCTTCCGAGTTGTTAGAAGTGTGAGTGACAAAGTGACACAACAACTCCTTGAAGTTGCAGAAGACCACAGGGAAATCAAGCACTGAAATGGACTCCAAGTATGAGGAAGTCCCACTTAATTATAATGTCATGCTGCTTTCATTACTCACCCCGAGACTGCTACAGAAAAGCAGATGACTCTTATAAGAAACGTACCAGCTTAATGTGCTCTCGTTTCTGGTACTTTTCACTGTAATATTGCTCCTGTCGGAGATTTAGCAGCTGCTGTTGTTGCTTCTCCTTCAGCTCGACTAGCTTCTGGGTCATTTCGGAGTCCAGCGCAGCTAATTCTTGTTCAATAGTTGAAGAACTGTGGTCAGGGCTGCCCGTTTCAGATCTGCAGAGACACACACACCACCAAAGTCTAAGTCACCAGCCATGTGCACTCTGCCCCATATTTAAACCTTATTTTTAAAGCAGCTGATTATATATAAGCCCATTAAGAAGTTTTTCAGCACCACATATAGAGCCAGAAGATGATTTTAGCTCTAGTAAAATAATTTAATCTTTTAGGAAAAAAAAAAAAAAAGTGTTAGCATTTTATTAATGGATAGATATTGCTATTAAACCTCATTTATTAACCCATCATGGTGGTGTGAACTGGACTTATAAATGAGCTACAAATGCAACTGCCAGGATTTCTCATAAACAGATGCCCATGGAACTTGTTTATCTACTTCCAGACACGTAACTGGAACTTCAAAGTTGCACAGTCCCCAGCAGAAATGCTGAATGCTAAGTATTTTGAAAACCAAGTCATCCCTGCATACACTTAGCAAGAAATTTAAGAGCATAACTTTACATCTGCATTTATAATATGCTTAAAATGGTAGGAACATCTTTTTATTTGGTATTTTCTCCCTCCTTCAGGAAACGCCATGAATAGCACATGCAGCGGAAAATGCTCTATAGACTAATGACTTTAGGAGGGAGATTAACACCCCAGTGGGGAGTAAACCTCAGAAAGGCAGCACATAGGAGTAAAGGAAAAAATGTAACGAGGAAGCTAAAAAGCAGCACTAAGAAACAGTTTTGTTTTGTTTTTTCCTTTCTTAAGACAGAAGGAAGGACAGATGTAATTGTGAAAGGAGACACATTACAAGCCAACACTAAAGTGTTCATGGCAAAAATAAGCAGCAAAAGCAGTAATATTCTCAGGCCAGCAGTAAACTAAAGACAAGGAAAACACTGAAAAAAAAAATGCTGTGTCCCTGCTCTGCTGCTGTGTTTACTGCTGTACTTAGGTGTTAAATCAGTTGCCTGGGAAACCTCAGGAACAGAGCATGAGAGGGACAAAACAGCAAAACCTTGAAAAGAGAGGATCAGCACCATGAGAAAAATGAGTTTCCTACTCAGAAACCTGCAGAGGTTACAATGCTGAGAACTTGCTACACTGTCTTCCTTCATCTTCTTTCCAAGGTTCAAGTTTGTAGCTGTTGTCAAGTAACTTCAACTGAACTAACGTGAAGCTGCTTTCATCAGGATACAAACCAAGGTAGCCTCCTCTTTTTATTTCTTGTATTTTTATTGTATTTGAATTTTCTGCTAAGATGTTAAGTGCTGTCAGTGTGATAGGTGAGGATAATTTAAATACAGTGCCAGAAGACAGGCTTAATGAATATTTAAATCAGCAAAATTATGCCATTGATCTATAAATTTTAAAGTTGACATTTCTCTTGTATTTTTAGGAAAAAGAAATAAGGCCTATTTCTTTTCTGCCTAAACCACTGCCTAAATGCTGTCTTTTGAGGGTCATGATCATTAAAGAAACTTCAGAACATCACCAGCAAAACACTTCTGCATGTGTATAAATAAATACTTCAAATTTCCTATAGACAATGGCTTTACTGAATCTTGGCCCAATTTTAGACAAGGACATAAACCATGGATTGCTTCTAACCAGAGACAACACATTTGTATGGCAATCTGCTACAGGGACTCCTGGTGAAATAGTGATTTATACTTGCAGTTACAGGCAAATAGCTTCAGTAATAATTTATAATGATAAAAATCACCTTTTTCCTTGGGATGCAGTATTCTATTAGAAGTCTGCTGCTTCAGATAATATTTACTTGCAAGATTGAAAATCCCTTAAAATATATTCCTGCCTTTTTAAAATTCGGCCTCAGATTTTTTAACCTTCAGATTTCTCTGTATCTGCACATAAAACTTCACATCTCTGAAATCACTGCGACAGCTCCACATAACAGACTGCAGGATTTTACTGCCTGATATCATGCATGATTTATGGTCAGATCATAACAAAATAAATAAATAATCCTTTTTACTCAACGATAAATGAGTCATTTTCTTTATTCAGTTTGCTTTTCTGCTTGAATTTGAATAGAATATGGTAGGAGAAAAAAACCCAACATTAAATTGTTTTGCCTGTCACTATCTGTGGCACACATTGATGATGGAAAATACAGAGGATAAAATAACACTCTGTGTGCAGCTGACTACCAGTCATTAAGGGAGTTTGTTAAACTAAAGTGTAGAACTTGGAAGCTTGAAACTGACAACAGTTAAGGCCAGCTGAACGTAGATATGAGTGTTAAGCTCTTATTAAGCCAAATGACATTCTGTCATCAGGCAGCCATAAATGAATAAGCTCGTTCCTAGGGACAAGTTATGGCCTGAATCCCAATCACTTACAATGAGAGGTACTATCAACAAGGTTAGCAGCCAGAACGTGCCCACAGTCTTTTTCTCTGATAATCTTATATATATATAAAGTAATAAATAAAGTAATTTTTTTAATGTTCATTCAATGTCCTCATATTTAAGAACTGCAGCTGCATCATTTTATGGACAAGTTAAAGGACTTTTGTGCTCATCTAATTACTTTAAAAAAAAATGAATTATGTTAAAATTAGAATGCTGCACTAATGGGAGAAATAAAAATTTAGGAGGGCACCCTTGCCTGATTATCATTCAATTGCAACAGCATCAGACACTGATTGTACCTATGTGTGTATGGGTTTCGCCAGGAATTAAGCATTGATCTTTATTAACATATAGTTCCTTACCATATGAACAAGACAGTAATTGTGGAAGATAAATAAGTCATAACAGTCTTTGTATTTCAAACTGATAATGATAAATACAAGTCTCCTTTTCTATTATTACCTAAACAAATAATATTAAAATTCTATCAGCACACACAAAGAGATAGGGCAATGTAAGATTTAGAAAGAGATACAGCACAGAAGGAGTGTGCATGCAGAGGCAAAACCAATCATTAAGAGATTCCCAAGTGGTCTGGATCAATCATAATTTAAACAGTTGTCAGATGTTCATAACTTTCAGGTGTTTCATTCACCTAATTATACATCTGATGTGTTCTACTCCAGAATGAGTTTTTTCCAGGGCTCTAACTTGAAGACAACGCTCTTCATCTCCAAATTCAGAATATCTGCTTTACTCATAAACAGCATAACAGAGGAGTAAGTTTTGTTCCTGTTTTGACACTTGTGTCTCTTCCACCACCAGACAGCACACTGTGGTGGCCCAGAGTAAATCAACTGCTTAACACGAGCAGGATGACCCCATGTGCTGGCTGCAAAAACTCCTTGTTTGAAAAAAGAGCTACATTATAGAGTTACATTATTAAGTGTGGGTCAGAAGTTTCCCTGGAACTGATATTCCCTGTCCTAAAGGAGGTCAGCATGGGAGAAGATGGCATGCTCTGAGAACACATGCTGCAGCTGATCCAAGTACTAAAGTAAAACACTTTATCCAGATAGGTTTGAGTTCCTTCATGCTGCAGTCTGGTTCCTGAATTGTAGGAGGGGACATGTAGGGGATGCCCCCTCTCACAGTTTGTGATTAAGCTTGCTACCCTAACCACTGGCTGCTGTTGCCAGAACAGCTGAGTGCACGTGGCCTCATTTACAGG